CTCCCCGAGCGCACAGCGCGAGCCGTGCGCTCCGCCGGCCTGCCCGCCACCGCGCCCGGGCCTAATCCAATCGCCGGGGCGTAAGGAAGAGCCGCGCACTAATCGGATCTCCGGGCGCTCGCTGGGATCCCGCCGAGTCAGGATCGGGGCGCAGCACGCGCACCCGGGGCCTGCGCCCCTTGCCGGGCCGGGGAGGCCGCGGAGCTCCGGCGCTTACCTGCGAGCCCGGCGCGTCGCGGAGGCCCCCCAGCCCGGGTCCCGGAGCCTCCGCCCGCTTCCCCCGTCCTCTCCCGAGTCCTTTGATCCGCGGGGCTCTCCGCCGCACCTCGGCTCCCGGGCTGCCCAGGGTCGGCCCGCGGGGACCCTCGAAACCGTCCCAGCTTATCTCCTTTCATCGAGCGGCCCCGGGCCGCCTTGAAACCGCGGAGCCAGTAATTGCTTTTTTCGCGAGGCCCAGTGCGGACTGGACAGCGGCCAATCAGCGCCTTGTTTACACCCGGTGACTGACAGCGCCCTGGCTCCGCGCCCACCAATGCGCGCGGCCCCGCGGGAGCGGGAGGTGGGGCCGCCGGCTTAACTCCATCGTGTCCCCGCCCGAGCGAGGCCACGCGTGGGCCGGGCGTCGCTGGGCTTCTGCCTGGTTGGACTTCCTCGCCAGGACAACGGGGAATGGGAATCCGGCCCCGATCGCCCCCCCGGCTGGACCTGCCGGGCCCGGCGCCGCGGAGGAGCGGACGCCCGCTTCCGAGCCACAGTCCGCAGCCCGTCCGCGTCGCGCGCTGCCCGTCCGGAGGACCGGGAGGCGCAGCGTGCAGGAGCGCGGCGTGGGGGAAGGCCACGCGCGTTTCTACCGCCGCCTCGTACGCAGGTGCCGCCGGAGACGACAGCCCTCTCCTGAAGCCTGCGGGGCGGGAGCGGGCGGGCCGGACGGTCTGCGAGCCCACGGCCGGCGACGCGCGAGCCGCTGCGCGCGGGGCGGTCCGCGGGGCCGTGGGGCAGCGGCCGGCCAGAAGCCCGCGCCCCGGGGCGCAGCCGGGGCCGCCCGGGGGGGCGCTGGGAGGGGAGCCCTGCCCGCTCCCGCCACCTGCCAGAGGGATCCCCAAAAAACAAAACTCGGGCGTGCGCCGCGTCCGGGGGAGCGTGCGCCCCGTCCGGGGGAGCGTGCGCCCGCCACGGGACGGTCAGCGCGCCGGACTCGGGCAGGGCCCGGGCGCGCGCGCGCCCCCGCCCCGCGCCGGCCCCGCACCGAGGTGCGCAGAGCAGCTGCGCAGTGGCGCGGCTTGAATTCGGCGCCACCGGGCCCGGGAGTCGCCCCGCGGCGGGCTGATTGGCAGCTGGCTGGCCGCGCGCCCGCCTATGGCGAGGCCTGTTTACGCCGAGCGAGCGGCACGAGCGCCCGGGCGCCCAGCGCGGCGCGGCCAATGAGCGCGCGGGCTGCGCGGGGCCGAGCGGCGCGAGCTGATTAGTATGCGGGGCCCGTGGCCGGCCGCGCCGGGCTGCAGGTTTGCGCGCGGCCCCGGACGGGCGGGCTCGAGTCGCCTCCGCCGCCGCGGCGCGCTTACGGTGCAACAGTCAGCACACCGCAAGTACCGATAGGAATACAAAACAAAGTCACATTTTCTGGGCCCTTTGTATTGCATTCAATTGTCCGGGAAACAGCCTCCAGTAAGTAACTCAAATTGCTTTCATTTTTTTTTTTAATTTTTATGATCTCATTTTCTTTTTAAATTTTGGTTTTGGGGATTTACAATTTTTTTTAAGCAAGTGAAATTCAGGATTGTGATGTTAAGAAATAGCTATGTTCCCTTAAAATTTTTTTTTCCGTTATTATATCAAGGGCTTTAAAAAAAAGATGGACTATAAATGAGCGATTTTTTTTCTTGAAAATGTGTATCGATCGGTTGGCGATGCCCCCCACCCCCACCCCGTCATGCGTCCTGTTGGAGCGCTCGTTGTCTCGAGCGACACCCGGCATTAAAAATAAAGAATGGAGAGAGGCCGGGGCCGGCCGGGCTGCGTCCCCGCGAGCCGCGCTGCTGCCGGCGGGGTCCGGGCGCGCCCAGGTCCCGGGGGACGGCGGGCGAACCCCTCGCTCCGCGCGCCGGGAACCGGCCCGGGTCGTCCGCCCCGAGCCAGGCTGCGAGGGGAGGGTTGGGCTTTCGCTTCGCACAGCCTAACTCGCGTTCGAACGTTTGAGAACATTTTGTTTCTTTTTTTTGCCGAGGAGTGAGGGGGGGGGCAGGCAGCGGGAGCCGAGCGGGGCCAGCGTAGTGGCCCGTTTTCGGGGCGCAATGCCCTTCCCCAGCCTGCGCCGCGGCTCCGTTCCGCTGCCCGGTTTCGCAGGGAGCGGGTTCCGCGGCGGCGCCCGGTGCGCGAGCCCCGGTGCGCGCCTGCCTCGGGCTCGGCCGGCAGCTCGGTCGGAGGGGCCTGCGCTTGGGCGACGCAGGCGAGTGGAGTCGCGGGACGGGAACGCTGGGAACAAAGCCGGCCCGGGGCAGCTCCGGCGGCCAGCGCGCCTCGGGCCGCGGAGGAGGGCGGGGGTCGCGCCCCGGGAGAGGCCGGGGCTGGGGGGTCGCGCCCCGGGAGAGGCCGGCCCTTCTGGCCCGCGCCCCTGGGCGGCTCTGGGGCCGGCGCGGGCCTCTGCCCGCTGCGCGCTCGCTGCGCATCCTGGCGCCGGCCGGCCTTGCCCGGGGCTGCGCGCGGGGCGCGCCGGGGTGGGGGGCTCTGTGCGGCCGGCGCGCGGCGGGTGGCGACGCCGCAGCTCCGGGGCCTGCGGGACTCCGGGCAGCCTGGGCGCCGTGGCCGCGCGTTCTGCTCTGGTGTTCCAAGCACCGGGGGGCGGCGCGGAGACGCGGGGCGCAGCCTGCGCTCGGGCGAGGGCGAGCACAAAGGAAGGTCCCGGAGGATCGCGGCTGGCTGGGCAGGGCCACAGCCGTGCCCGCTGCTCGTGAAGGCCCGGCGGGTGCCCGGGGCCGGCGGCCGGCTGGGGCGGCCCGCAGGGGGCGGGAGATGACCGCGGGAGCCGCAGAGCCCGCGTCCCAAGAATCTCCAGCGCCTGGCGCTTTCTGGGCCACTTAGACGTCTCCTTTGGGCGGAAAAACTAACAAAGCCAGGAAGAAATCCAGGCGCTGGGAACAAAAGCGGCGCGGCCCGGACTCCCCTCGGAGGCCGCCGGAGCCCCGGCAGCTCGCGGCCCTCGGCGCCTTTGAAGCCCCGGCCTCCCGGGCGCCCTCCCCTTCCTCCCGCCTTTGTCTGCGCCGCGCCGGCCGCCGACCTGGGCAGCCCCCGCCGGGCCCTGGCGGCCTGGAGCGCTGCAGGCCCGAGCGGCTGCGAGCGGCGCTGTTTGTAGGATCCGGGAGAGTTGCATCCCCAGAGCAAAGGGAGCCCCAAACCCCTTTGTATGCAGCCTCGAGACAAAGGGGACTCTGTGTAGGCCCGTTTATTTACAATGCAAAAAGCTCTCCGGATAAATATTAAAAAAGCTTATCGGTTGAGCAAATATGTATTCACTTAATACTTTATGTTTTCGGTTATAGATTAAATCAGACACAAAACAGCCTGCAAGTAAGACGTTGTAGGACCCGGAGCGTAACGCGGAGCAATTTAACGTGGTGGTCACGGAGCGGAAGCGTCTCCGTCGCCGTGTCAGGGCGCAGGGAAGCGCGGCGAGGTCCTGGGCGAAGCTCCCGGGGACACGCGCCTGGCCGCCTGGGCTTGGAGGGGCTCCCCAGGAGCTTCCCGCAGGGCGGGGGTTGGCGTGGGTGCCGCTGGCCATCCTGGCCATCGCGCTGGGCGCCCGCACCGAGCCGGGCCCAGCTCCACCTTCCAGGGGACGCCGGTGGGGCGAGGGTCCCTCGCGGGCAGCCCTGTTGGGGGCCCGGGCGAGGACTGCAGGCACTGGGTCCGCGGTGCCTGAGCGTCCAGGCCACGCGGCGCTGGCCACGGGAGAGATGCCCGTCAGCCCCCGTGGCCTCTCGGGGCGGTGGGGAGAGCGTAATTCCTGACTCTCGGAGTGCCCCCCCTCCCAGCAAGCTCCCACTTCGCAGAGGAAGGTTGGGGCGAATTTGCTTGGGGGGCGGGGTGATTGTTGAGCCTCTCCAGGAAGCTCCGGCGTGGGGACAGCGGGCCGGGCACTGCGGCGTGGCGGGCTCAGGTGATGCTGCTGGTCCGGGGCTGTGGGCAGCCGGCCCTCGTCCTGGCCCGGAGTGGGGGTGGGCAGCGGGCCGGCCCCTGCGGTGGGGGGCGGCGGGTTCAAAGGAATGGGCCGAAAGACGCATGGGGGGGGGATGGGAGAAGGGAGAAAAGGAAGGTTATAAAAAAAAAACCTCTTTAAGTTGCAATCAATAAAATTACTTGCTTAATTAGCATGGTTCTTGGGTTAAGCAGAGCGCAGTAAAAGGCTGGACCTCGGCATGCGGGGGGCGAGCGTGGCCCCCAGGCCTTTTCCTCCGAGACACCTCTGGGCAGCGGGGGAGGGGAGAGGGTGTGAGTGTGTGCGCGCGAGTGTGCGTGATGGCTTCGCACATCGGGGCTCCTGTCGCCCAGCAGAGCCTGCAGCTTCTTCGCCAGGGCGCCCTGGGCAGAGGGACGCGGAGGGGCAGCGGCGCGGCCGGGCTTGCTCGGCCCCTCGGGGCCCCGCGTGGCTCGGACGGTGCGTGCGCACAAGGCCCCCCAGCGCCGGGCGGCGCGCACATGCACCGGGCGCTCCGAGCCCCGGGCCCGGCCCGCGGGCGGGGGATGGGGCGGGGACCCCGGGGCGCGCCGAGCCCCCCGAGTCACCGAGTCTCCTGTGCTTGCCTCCGCAGGGACCATGGACCCTCCCGGCGGCTGCCCGCTCGGTGCGCGGCCGCCCGCCGAGGACCCCAGCCCGCCCGCGTGCTGAGCGGCCCGCCGCCGCCCCCGGACGCCCCCCGCGCGCCGCCCGCACACCGAGCCGCCCCCGGGCCCCGGCCGCGCTGCTCCGGGGAGGAGGCGGCGGCGGGTCGGGGCCGGGGCCCGGCATGGATGGCCGCGACTTCGCGCCGCCGCAGCATCTCCTGTCGGACCGCGGCAGCCTGGGACACCGCGGAGCGGCCGCGCAGCCCCCGGCGCACTTCCAGCCGGGGAAGTACTTCCCGTCGCCGCTGCCCATGGCTTCGCACACAGGTCAGTGCCCGGCCGCGAGCTGGGAAGGTCCGGGTGTCGGCGCGGCTCCGGCCCCGCGGCTGCTTGGAGCGCGGCGCGCCGGCTTCGGTTTCGCTTCCCGCCCCGCGCCGAGCGCCCCGCGTCCTGCCAGGCGCGCCCCGCTGCGTCCCTCTCGCCCTGCTCCTGCCGGGTTGGAGCGGCCTCTCCCGGGGTCTCCCCGGGGTCTCAGGGGCAGCCGGAGCAGGCTAAAAATAAAGCCCCGGGCCTCCGTGTCGCCTTCCCCGCCGCTTCCTGCAGAAGAACTGAATTCCGCCGAAACCGACTTTTTTTTCCCCCTTCTTTTTGCATTCACCTCCTTAAGACGTTCGGGTGCCGGACAAGGAGGCGCTTTCTGCGGGAACAGAACGCCCCTTGTGCCCGGGGGAGGGGGCCAGGCCTGGCGGATTAGGGAGGCATGCGCCGGCGGGCGGTCGTGGGGACTGCGGGTGTGAGACGAGCAAATCTGTTTCTATATAAAGCCCCGAAGTGTCAGGGCGAGAAAGGGTTTGTTGGGGATGCGGCTGCTTTCACAGGCGCCTCTGGCATCCCGCGCCGGCCAGGCGCAGCCTGGAGGCCCGCCGGCCCTGCACTGTCCCTGCACCGGCCCTGCACTGTCCCTGCACCGGCCCTGCACCGGGCCTGCTCCCACTGCACCGGTCCTGCACTGGCCCTGCACCGGGCCTGCACCCGCGCTGTACCGGTCCTGCACTGGCCCTGCACCGGGCCTGCTCCCGTTCGGTGCAGGCGAGTTTGCGCTCTCGGAGCGCCCGGCGCCGGCCTCGCACAGGGGCTGCACGTGCTGTGCAGAGCTTTGGGGTACGAGGTGGCTTTGGGGTGCAGGGACGGCCAGGACGTGCGCGAGGGGCTGCCCTGAGCGGCCGCTGTGGCTTGCTTCCTGCTCACAATTCGCCCCAAGCATGGGAAACCTTGTTTGTCCCCCCCCCCTTTTTTTTTTTAATTTTCTCTTTTCCAGTTTGGCAGTAGCAGTTCTTATTGCTAGCTTGATGAACTGTGAATCCTAATAAAATTGTATCTGCTTTAACGGGATTACAATTAGTGCGTGGATTACCGCGGAGGGCACCGGGGTAGCAGGGAAACCCTGTGCGGGAGCCGCCCTGGACACGGCGCGGGCCCCGGGGTGCGGGCAAGGAGTGTGGGAGCAGGCCGGCCGAGTCCCCGTCCTTGGGTGTCCCTTCGCTCTCTCCTCTTCAGATTTATAACTGGCGAGAAAGTACTGGCCTGAGCTGGCGGTGACTTAAAAATATCTCTCCCGCCGGCCCTGCGGTTATTAAGTGTGTCTTTCCTGCCTCGCCGGGGGCGACTCCCCTCCCCCAGCCGCCGCTCTGTGGGCAGGCGGTGGCCGCGGGGACACTTCCCCAGCGCGCTGCCCTGGCCCTGTGGGGGTGGAGCGGCTGAGGCTGCGGGTTGGGGGCGGGGAAGGAGCTCGTCCAGGGGGTGGGTCACTGGCCTCCTGAGCAGCCCCCCGCAGCAGGTGGGGTCACTGCTGCCCGCCCAGGTCCCCTGAGCCCGCGTTTCCAGGCAGCACTGGGGCAGGGGGTCGCCCCCTGGGCCTTTGTCTTCCTTGCTCTGAGTGTGGCCACGTGGTTTTGGCCATGAGGGTTGTGTGAAGGCGTGCAGGCCTGCGTCCCGCCTGGCTGCTTGCTGACCCTGCAGCTGGCTGGCCCCCATGCAGAGGGGACTGGGGGGCGCTGGAGGGGGCTTCAGGGCCACGTGCCCCCGTCCCTGGAGGCCCCACTGGGCTCTGGGGACGCGGGAGCCCTATTGTGTTCTGAGAAGCTGGGAGCTCAGCGGGCTGGGAAGGACCCCAGGTGCTGTGTTGGGACCCGGATAGCCGTCCACACCCGCGCACGGTTTAGTGAAGGAAAGGAGTGGATGAAGCGAAGGGCTTTTGTTTGCTCTATGTGTCTTGTGTGTGGCTCTCCAAATGGCCCATGTACCAACTTTGTTCCCATGCCCAGGGACGGCCTGGACTCAAAGCGGACTGGGCAGTGGTGCTTCCCCTGTGCCAGCCAGCGCGGCGCGGCACCGGGATCCGGCTCCCAGGGCCGAGGGACTCCTGGTGGCCGCCCCTGCCACCCTTCGCAGCCAGCACGTGCCTGCCTGCCGCCGGCTTGCTCCCCCAGCTGACGGGCTCGATGGTGATGGCACAGCGTCGTGCCAGTAACCTTGTGGGCAGAAGGTGCTGGGAGATGTTTGGCAGCGTCAGATCCCTCTCCGGTTGGGAGGCTAAGCTGTGAGCCTTGGGGCTTGATCTGGAGGTGGCCCGGCCCCTCCTCCTCTTCCGGTGCTCCTGGGGTGTCCCCGGGGCCCCGCCAAGTGCCCTGCCGTCCAGCTCAGGGGATGGCTCGCTGCCCTTCCCCGTCCTCGAGTGTCCCCCAAGGCCTGCTGTCTGGGCCTAACCTTAACCCCTGGCGGACCAGGCTACCCGACCCCTCAGAGGGGGAAGGATTTCCTGGTGTGGAAATGCCCCCTCAAACTCCCCAGTGGGATTGTTTTTTTGCTGCTGGTGGTGGGGAAAGATGCATTTTCGTAAATAGCTCATTAGCTCCATGAGGCAGCCTGCCCTGTGCAGCAGTTACCCGCACTAAGTAGGTGTGAAAGTACAACTTGCCCAGTGCCAGGGCCATGCCCACCCTGCGCCAGAGTGAGTGGGGGAGCCACACATCAAAGGCTGCGCCCGGTGTGGGCCTGGTGCTGCCACCATGGCTGACGGGCCTCTGCTGCGGGCGCTGGTTTCTATAGGAAAGAGTACCCGGGTCACGTGGCAGCCCCGGCACGTTAGGCGGTGCCGCGCCAGGGAGCGGCCCTGTGTGCCCGCGCGCACCCCAGACGCCGCCAGGGCCCCCCTCGCCGGAGCCGGCGTTCAACAGCCCGCACAGGCAGGACAGGACGGAGAGGAGGCTGTTAGAATAACACGGGTGAAGCTAAAAATACCCCTCCGAAACACACATAAAAAAGCCAAATCCAACAACAGAACGAGCTAAAAATATTCCAGGCTTTGGCAAGGCGCACCGAGTTAAATAAATTATCCGAGAGCCATTCATGGGAGCGAGTTGACTTTCTCTCTTACGGGAACTTGGTTCAAGCTAATAAAAATAATAATTTACTAGCCACTGGGCTTTGCATGAGTTTAAATTTAATTGGTGGGGCTTCTGGCATTTGTCACTTCTTGGCGATTAGTGGGCTAGCCCCGGCCTGGGGCGGAGAGGAGGGGCGCGAGGCGAGAGCCCCTGGCAGCGAGGGTCTGCCCCACGAGGCAGGTGGAGGCGGCTGTCGGGGGGCCGGTCCGGGCAGGCAGGAGGGGAGCGTGTGAGGCCGGCCTGTTTTAATTTGATGAATGACGGTGCACCTTACCCAGTGTGTTTTAACAATCAAGATACACTCCAGCAACTTGATAGGATGTTCACTGTCAACTTGCATATGTCAGCTGCGCAGGCTGCGAGCTAAGTAACTGCCCGCGTGTGCACACAGCCCTCGGCCTTGCCTTGGGGTGGGGCCCACAGGGGGCAGCAGTGAGGACCCCGTGCCCGGGGTCCTTCCGGGTCTGCCCACCCAGGCGGAGCCTCCTTGCTGACCAAGGCCCACTCGGGAGTCGCCCACAGCCCTGGGGTTCGTCCTTGACCTGGCGTGGGGGTACAGGAAAACCCCCTCTTTTCTCCCCAGGTCTGTTCCTGAGACAGGAGCCCCCCACGAGCCCCTTGCCTTGTGGAAGACTCCTGTTCCCAGAATGCCCCCGGTCTGCTCCGGAGTCTGAGCTGGGCCCCATCTGTCCCTCTGTCCATCACTGCCCCCCAAGCCAGATCCCCAGTGTCCTTCCTCGGTGAAGGGCCTGGCTGCTCTCTGCCCTGGGTATCTGAGTGCAGGCCCTGATGAGGGGAGCCCCCCAGCATCGTGTGTGTCCCCCAGCTAACCCTAACTCAGTAGCCCCAGCCGGGCTGGTTGGTGGGAATGACTGCTTTGTGAATGCACAGCCAGGGGCCACAGGGCCCTGGGGGCTTCCCGCTCCTCCCTGTGCCCGGCCTGGCTCTCGGCACAGCCCTGGTGTGACTGGCACCCCCAGGCAGGACTCCGGCACCCCTCAGTCTGGTGAAGGGCCTCGACCGGGCGGTGCTGCCCGTTGACGTTTTTATGGGATAATATACCGTTTAGATCACGCAGGCCTATTTGTCAGTGGGCTGCCCCTGTTTGTGGTAATATATAATATTCCCGCCTCCCACGGCCCTGCCGGCCCTGCTGCCTGAGGAACACGGGCTGGTGGGTGTGGGCTCAGAGGTGGTGGCGGCAGCGGTGGGGGGCCCACACCCAGGCCTGGCCCTGAGGTGGGTGCCAGGCGGCCACAGCCTGACCCTGGGTGGGGGTGACTGGGGCTGGTCTGTGAGCAGCAGAGGGGCAGCTAATGCGGCCTGCGTGGAGAGGGGGCTGGTCTCCCGCCCCGGCCTTCTCCCACGTTCACCCTGCAACCAGTGCAGAGTCTGGGGGACAACCGGCTGGGGGTGTCACTGTTCCCCATGTGCCCTTGGGGCTGTAAGTGGCCCTCCCCACCCCTGTGCAGGGAGAAGCTGTTGGGGGGCGGGGAGGGCAGTGGAGGTGAATGTGTGACGCCTCCTTGGGGTGCCCCATGAGAACAGTCAGCAGGGCTCAGCGGGGAGAAGCTGCTTAGCCCTCTGTGGCGCTTCAGGGACTTCCCCTCAACTTCTACCGAGGCTCAGGGGTCGGGTCCCTGGCCAGGCTGGACACGGCACCCCTAGTCTGGGAGCAGTGGTGCCAGAGACCCCTGGGTGGGGGACTGTCCCGTGGGGTCTCGTGCTGTGGATGGCTGAGCTGGGCCCCTCTCCTGGGCCCGTCAGTATTACGGGGGTCTTCCTTTCAACCCTGCTTGCATGGACCCTGGGGCCCACGGCTGGCCCCCCAAGACAGCTCCTCTGCCCAGGAAGCACCTGCCCACCTCCGCTTCTTGCCAC